GGTTCAATAGGTCCTTCAAGCTGAGTCTCCTCAGCCTCTGGACGAACGTAGACATCGAAAGGAGGGTCTGTTCTAGGTGATGACCTATCCATGTCTGAAAAGAAAAACCTAACCTTGACTTCGAAAAAGAAAGTACCTGTGAAGGACGAGCAACGAAACTTCGGCTAGAGATGAGTTTGAGAGGATTTCAATTCTCAAAGAGAAGGAGGGCTTGAAAAAGATGTTCCTATTTATAGGAAACGCCAGATTAACCCTCACCATCCAATGCTTTTCGAAATCAATGGTGTAGATCGGTTGATTCCAAAGTTCGAGGACCGATGATGTCATCATACGTCAATTTGTCGCTTCGATCCTTGCAATTTGACGTTTTGGTTCTCATGACTTTAGCGTCAAGCTAACATCCATAATGACTTCTGGCACGCACTAGCTGTCAGGGCTACTTTGTCGAGCTGATCTGGCACCTCACCGAAATGGGGGCCAATGTTGGAGGCTATTACCACCTGCCATGTGTCGGTATATAGAGATTACTATCGATGAAAAAGGATACTTGTGGAAGGATTTTGCTAAGTTACTTCCACTTGAAAGTCGATGTTCGAGCTACCATGCTTTCTTCAAAAGGTCCAAGCCGAGGTTAAAAGAGTAACCGAGGGAGCACAGATGACAGACATGTTCTCCGACAAGACAGCTTGGTCCTAGGTTATCGGAAGACCTATCAGGAACTCGCCTCTATAAAGAGAGTGCCCTACTTTTCGTATCAGGTACGCAAAATATATTCTCTCTCGAATATAGTTCGGATTGTGTACTGACTAAAGCGTCGGAGTGCTAACTCTATTTTGAAGGTCTCAAGTGCTTCAGTGCAGTCGATCCGAGCTTCGTGGATTCCAAACTTGAACATTTTTACGATCAAACATTAATGATAGAGAGTAATAGAATGAATTAAAAAAATGTTTAGAAATTTCAAATCAAAGTAACAGGGAAAAAAAAAAAGAAAATCAAAATCGGTTGAAATCTTGGAGAAAACAAAGAAAAAAAGTAGCCGGCACCTACGTTTTGTTTGAGATGAGCTTCAAATTGTTGGGTGTGTTGCCCTAAACTTGTAGTTTGTATTTATGTAGAAATAAATGTATATTCAATAAATTTGTTGTGAATTCATAGCATTGCATTGTCCAAAATCCAATAAACTAAACATCCAAGGTTATTTTCATGTAACTAGGACAGTATATATAATAGGTATATATTTGATATACCCCTGATATACGAGTGGATAATGTTCCGTGAATAACCTAAAGGGTCTATAGTATATGGATAAGGCTGGGTACCTTATCCTGGCAACACTATGGATATAACCCACTTTGTAAATGTTACAGACGACTCGATCCAGGTCGTTCGTGTGGAGACATGCGAGTGAGGGTATCCTATACAATGAGTTTGTATAAGATCGGACTGCGAAATAGACAATCTTTAGATGTAACGTCATTGACTAACAGATTGCTATTTCATAGAATGACCAAACAACTCATTCTCAATCCTGAGTGAGTTATGGACTCCTGCCCGTGAGGGCTCGTCCTTTGATCCGTATGGGTGACAGTGGCCCGAGTTGCCGACTCAATATTCCTACCATTTTGGGGACGAGATTGAGTAGGGAGCTGGGAACATAACTTCACAAGATGAAATTCACTCATCCTCGACTTTACGGGAGTAGATGAATGTTCTCTTAAATGCTGACTCCGAGACTTGAACAAGGGGCCCCACCCTCTCGTTGGCCCGAGAGGGACCTCTGGTTATTGGTTGGACCATAACCGGGTTGTTCATTAGAGGAGTAGTGGTATTTAAGGAGCAAGATGTAACACAGGGGTAAAACGATAACTTTACCCATTTGTGATTACGAACACTCGTGAAAGATTGACTTGTCATTAATGATCGTATATCCATGAACACGAAAACATTCTGCAGTGAGAAGAGTGCAACTACGAATCTTTAGTGGAGTGACCCGTAGTTAACAAATGTTGATTAACTCAGTCAATGAGTTTGACCGATTAATCTCGTATCGTTGGAGCTTCTGATCAATAGGTCCATTAGGTCCCCTTGCTAGCTCATACGAGTAAAACGAGGATCAAGTTTTTAGAAAATTTTGAAATGTTCAAATTACTTAAGGGATTTATGTATATTGATACATTATAATATATATAGTTAATTCTAATTTAAACTATAAATTATGAGAGAAATTATTTGAATGAGATTCAAATAAAAATATGAATATGATTCATATTAAAACTATAAGTTAAAAATAATGTATTTAAGATGTACATTACAACTATAGTTTATACGAGAAATGCTTTAGAATATGATTCTATTTTGATGATAAATAATTAAGGGTTGATTATTTATATAATTAATATATATATTTAATTAATTATTAATTAGATTAATAATTAATTAACTAATATTAATTAATAAGATTAATTAATTAAATATATATATTAACTATTATTAATTAATAATATTATTTTATAATATTATTATATTAATAATAAAACACTCCCCTGCAAAAATGCAGAGGAGTGGAAAGTTACTTATGAGGTGGGAGTCACGTCATATTCTTTTTTGACTTTTTGCAGTATGTTCTACAACACAGAAAAGGGATTCCCAGCATCTCTCTCAAGCTCTCACTTTGATCACTCCCTCTCATTCCAAACGAATTGCTCTCACAAGCCCGATCTCGGTACCCAGAGGATAACACGGAAGACCATTTGGTGTTGTTCGGGAGATTGAATCATTGAAGAAGAGTTTTTCAAAGGTAAAAGAAAAGTTCTTTCCCTGTACTTTCGTTATTAGATGTTTGATTTTATTTTCTAAAAAATTGATGAACAAAGATCTGTTCCTGCTCCAAGATTCACGTCCCATCACAAATCTCATATCCTAATTTGTTGTATTAATAATAAATAAATAAAAAAGATAACAAACTAAAATGGTAGAAAGATAAGAAAATCAAATGTAAGAAAAAAAGAAAAACGAAATTGATTTGAAAGATGGGCTTTTGATGAAGCCCAAAAGTATAACCCATCCCTACAATACATATATTCTAGGGTTTGTATCAATCCCTCTCTTCTTCCAGAACTCTGTTGGTGTTGCTGCCGTTCTCGCTCCTCTTCACTTCCCTTCATCCTGTTCCTCACCAACAATGGCGGACAAGGCAGTCACCATTCGGACCAGAAAGTTCATGACTAACAGGCTTCTCTCTAGGAAGCAGTTCGTGAGTTTTTCCTCTTATTTTCTTTCTTCATTTTCTCAGCAACCAAACAATGGTCTAGATTCCTTAAATTGTTTTTGGGATTAGTTTCAACCTCGGATTGAATTTAACTAAGATTTGTTCTCTCCCTGTTTGAAGTATAAGACTCAACGACTTTTAAATTTGATGGAGTATTTCTTGCTATCTGTGTCTGTGTGCTGAATAATGCATCGTGTAGTCTGATCTTTTTTTTTTTTTTCCTTTTTTATAATGTTGGTTTTGGTTTTACCCCAATTTCATCTGATATCATTCTGCTATAACTCACTGACTGGAGTTTATGTGCTCTGTGAATTTTGACCTTTTCTTTTAGGCTTCTTCACTTTATACATGTTTTTTGAACTTGCTACATTGGTGTTATTTTGAAATTTTGTTCTCTTGTAACATTCTGGGAATTTTCTTGATGCCTCGACACCATGATAATGGAGCTCAATACTTGCTTCTTTTAGGCTTCAGTTCTTACTGGTTTTATTTTTATTCTTTTTGATGCAGATCATTGATGTTCTTCACCCAGGAAGGCCGAACGTCTCCAAGGTAAATTTATTTTAGTTTCGGCGGTTATTCTGCTTCTGCTCGCTTACTTGCAGTTTGTGCATTTTTATTTTTATTTTTGGAACAAGATACAACGTCCTCATTGATATAATGAAAAGAACAACAAATGTTCAAAAGAGAAAAACGGAGAAGAAAGAAAATAAACGAAGCTTTAGAAAGATTGCAAATCTTTCAAACCCAAGGCCTTTGAAAAGTTTAAAAAGAAGCCTACGGAAGAAGTCCCTTCACAACTTGCTCTGGAAACAGACCAAGAAAAGAAATTCACAATGAATACGTCCAGCAATTGTGTTTGTTTCCTTATTCTTTTGTACGTTTGAGGTCACTTGAAACTTGAGTGAATATGTAATATTTGAAACTGCAAACATGTTTCACCCAAATTGTCACAGTTTGTATTTGGATTTTTTATATTTCTTTAACATTATTGGGCCGAATAACGAATATATTGTTTAGCTTAATGGTTGATGTGTTTCAAGTCTAATTATCAAAGAACAACAAATGTTCAAAAGAGAATAACGGAGAAGAAAGAAAATAAACGAAGCTTTAGAAAGATTGCAAATCTTTCAAACCCAAGGCCTTTGAAAAGTTTAAAAAGAAGCCTACGGAAGAAGTCCCTTCACAACTTGCTCTGGAAACAGACCAAGAAAAGAAATTCACAATGAATACGTCCAGCAATTGTGTTTGTTTCCTTATTCTTTTGTACGTTTGAGGTCACTTGAAACTTGAGTGAATATGTAATATTTGAAACTGCAAACATGTTTCACCCAAATTGTCACAGTTTGTATTTGGATTTTTTATATTTCTTTAACATTATTGGGCCGAATAACGAATATATTGTTTAGCTTAATGGTTGATGTGTTTCAAGTCTAATTATCAAAGCATTTGTTTTGACCGTTTACATGCTAAATTGTCTACTCATTTGATTTCATTTTTTGTCTTTTTGATACGAAGGCAGAGCTGAAGGAAAAGCTTGGAAGAATATATGACGTGAAGGATGCAAATGCGATTTTTGTATTCAAGTTCCGTACACATTTTGGAGGTGGAAAATCAACTGGATTCGGTTTGATTTATGATTCTGTTGAAAGTGCCAAAAAGTACGAGCCTAAGTACAGACTCATCAGGGTAATTTCTCATACTTATTAATCTTTCCATCTTATGATTTGTTTCCTGTCTTTATTATGTTTTGAATTGATTTTGTACGAAAGGGAAGGAATCCTATTGTTGATCAATCATCCATGTTTGATCTCTGAAGTCTGAAATTGATACATTCATCTCTTTTCCCTTTGGTTTCCTTTCTTTAGAGGCTGTATTTGATTGATTCTGACCAGTGCTGTTGTAAAATGGATTTGATACTATAGAAACTAAACAAAATTGATCGGGGAAACCGTTATAAGGTCTGTTTGATAATGATTTTGCTTTTAGAGGTCTCTTAATTTATTTACTATGTTTTTTACTATTCTCACAAGTCACGAACACAAACAAAAACAAAGTTTTTAATGCTACTTATTTTTTAGCTTTTCAAATTTAGCTTAGATTTTGGAAATGTTTTTAAAAAGTATATTACAAAGTAAAGAAACACGTCGCTGGAAGTAGTGTTTATAAGAAGATAAGCATTTAAGTTTCACTTGATAGAATAAAAAAAAGATGGTGTGGGAAGGTGTTTCTGTATTTGTAAGATGTGCATAATTCGAGTTATACACGACTTTAATTTGCTGTTTCACGATGCTCTTCATGCGTTTTTTGTAAACAAGTCCTTTTCAATATAGTTTTCTCATTTCTGTTCTATGAGTTGGGTTATTTTCTGAAATCAAGTGTACATCTTGGTGACAGAATGGACTCGACACTAAAGTAGAAAAATCGAGGAAGCAAATGAAGGAGAGGAAGAACAGAGCCAAGAAGATTCGTGGAGTAAAGAAAGTGAGTTGAAAATCATCATTCTCTTTCTTGTTTGAGTTTCCGAATTTGAATACAACAAAATATTTAATAATATGGCTTCAATTTCCCCTTGTTTTACCAGACAAAGGCCTCAGACGCTGCCAAGGCTGGAAAGAAGAAATGAGTCTACTGCTGGTTTTTTCTCTCTTTAAATTAAAATTATTAAAAGTGGTGTTAGGAACTTTCTAAATTGAATCAAACGTCTGGAGAATTGTTTGACACCAACGTTTAGCCATTAATTGCAATTTTGGAGTGCTTTTTGCAGGGACCAATTTTGACATTAGTAACCATATATTTTTATTAGTGAAAAAAGTCTAGTATATTTGATAGCCAAATTTTTATTCTCCATAACCCCCAAGTTTCCCCTCATGTTATCAAGCTGAATGATGAGGCAAAATTTGAATTTTTAGTGTACTGCAGTCTACTTACGAGCTACTTTTGGACGGAGTTATGAACAAAGTAATTACTTAATGATGTATCAAAATGTGAATGGGAGGAGGGCGGTATTATTATAAAAATTTTCAATAGCAAGTACTATTTCGAAAGTCATGTTTTGGATTGATATGATTTTGTTTTCAACTTTGAGTGCTTTGTGGGAACGTTTTTGCTTCAAATATTTTAGAGTGAACATGGAATATTCCTCGAAAGAGAGAAATAAAAAAAGAAATTAACATGTTTTATGCGTACTATAAAAATACATAGAAGGAAACTTTAAAAATAAAAAATGAATTTGAATTAAGGTTTTTTCTTTTAATTTATATAAAAGGTTACCTCTCACCTATTCACGTTTGTGTTATCGTCCACTTGAACGGTGCTATTATCTATGACGATATAGCAATCACTAACATATCATTGGAAAGTTTATCAAATAAAAAAAAATGCAAAAGAAAAACATATCATTAGAACACATAAATGACAAATAAAACTCAGAGAACATCTCCTATTTTTTCGATATTCTAATAATGATGGATTTATTAGAAACTCTTATATAACGCCAAACCTATAAAAATACTACAAATACAAATATAGAATCAAATCTTCAGTACAACTTCTCGATAATGTGATTCAAAATATTGAAAATTTTGAAAACTATATTTTTATTTTTAAGCTATTTTCATATTTTAAATTTGAAACTTTGAAATGTAAAATTATATTAAAAAAATAAAACTTTTATAAATATATTATTTCTAAGTTCTAAATTTAAATTAAAACATGTAAAATACAATATGTTATAAATTATATAATGTTGTGAAATAATAATTATACCAAAATTTAATAAATTAAATAAAATTATTGTAGATGGAACTAAATATTTAGTTTTTTATTTGCTTTCCTTTATTTTTTTATTAATATTATTATATACTACGAATGTCCAATCATTTTCGTCTCTACACTAAAAAAACAAAAATCAGATTGTTATCAAACAGACCATAAATACTTATCAAACTACCTTTAAATATTTGTTATTATTTCTCTCTCCAAAAATTTAAAAAAATTTAATATTTTTATGAATTTTCTATCTCTAAAATTTAATTGGTTATAACTTTTCCTTCTTTTTCTAATATATTTTTTCTCTAAAAATTATCATATTATTTTCTAGTTCTATTTTCTTTTTCTATAACTTGTATTTTCTTTTGTATTTATTTAATTTTTTCTAAAAAGTATATTTCGAATGTGTTTTTCCTCTCTAATTTTTTTTCTCACTATAATTTTTCTTTTTCCTTTCTAATTTCTTTTTTTTCTTTAACATATATTATCCTCCCAAATTTACTCTTTTTTCTAAATTTTGTCTTTTTTTTTTTAAATTTAACTTTTCTTTCACTAATTCTTTTTTTAAATTGTTTTCTTTTCTTTAAAATTTATCTTTCAAAAGTTTATTTTCATCTTTATAAGCGTATATTTTCATGTCTCTACATTAGAGATGAACAAAATTCTCGTAGGGTTGGGTCTCCCCTCTAAGAATAGTAAATGTTGTTGTTCACACAAAATTTTCGGAGAAATTATATTTTGTGGATTAAATACAATTTGTATTGATATTTAGGGGTTCGTACAATCTATTTATCTTCTGATTCTTTTCCTTGAATTCTTGGCTTGTTGATCTCGATCAGCCTCTTGACTGCTTGTTGATCTCAACCGACCTCTTGGTGGCTTGTTGATCTTGAGCAGCTTGTTGATCTCGATCGACCTCTTAAATGGCTTATTGATCTTGATCAGCCTCTGGCTTGATGTTGATCATGATCGGTCTTCTGGCAACTCCTTACGATAGTTGTTCATCTTGATCTTCTTTGGCTTCTCCTTAATATTCAGATGGTGGAGGGATTTTAATCGATTTTGAAGGATGGATTAGATGGTCAATGAACTCCTCTATTTAATAGTATTTTATGGGCTTGATTTGGACTTGGGCTTACCCAACGGGCCTTTGCTAACTTGAGCCTCATTGAATTTTTAATATCTTTTAATTTAATTTAAAGACACTCTCTATAGTCTCAATTTAATGGCATATAATTTTGTATCAGTATATGAAAATTTGTGGTCTCGAAATTTATTAGTCAACACATGTGTTGACCTCGTCCCTGATTAACTTTTTTAAATATTTAATATATTTTATTGACATATTTACTAAATTGTGAATAAAATATTAAATATTTTTTAAAACTAATTATTTATACCGGTAAATAATAATTCTAAAAATAATTAATATACATTTATTACGTTTTTATTAGTTCTAAAATAATTAAAATTAATATAAAACCGATAATTTTTCCTTCTAATATCCCCGTCCTCAAATAAGGATTATTTAACCTGGATCTTGATTTCCTGACCAAAGAACGAAGTGGAGGCAGAAGACTAAAAATTTTCATGAACACAAAAATGGGAGAGGACATATTCACTCCTATTCTACATCATTGTCATCTCTACTCTATATCAGATTTTCTTTGTCTTTTTAATTTTCCAACTTTTGAAAAATAGAAAACTAAAATAGTTGTGAAACATGTTTGGTTTTATATTTTTTAAAAGAAAAAAACAAAAAACAGTTATCAAACATATATATTTTTATTTAAAAGAAATAAAAAAATAAAAAATAAAAAATAGAAATCATTATCAAACCCTACTTAAATCTGTAAGTAAATTGGAGATCCATACGTTGACAACAAAATATAGAAGTGAGAAACAAGAGTATTGTAAAAACAAATAAAATCAAAATGTGTTAGAATTTAAGATAAATCGGAGAGAAAAAAGTTATTTTAACAAAAGAACAAAACGGTTAATAATACCGACATGAACACTTGTATTATAAATAAAGACATTGCTCCAATTTCTCAAACAAAATTATAGTTATAAAGTTTAAAGGATTTGATTGGTTGACAAGGAAAAGAAACATAATAATTTTTTTAGAACGAAGAAAATTCGTAATAATTAAAATTGAAACTGTTTAAGATTAGATGAGAAAATTTAAATAAAATGCCAAAAATTAGTTCATACCAATCTTAATTAAACTTAAATATACTATATAAATAAAATATGCTTTAACAAACAAAGAGTCGCTTTGGCCGAGTGGTTAAGGCGTGTGCCTGCTAAGTACTTGGGGTTTACCCGCGAGATTTCGAATCTCTCAGGCGGCGATTTTGAAGGTTTTTCCCTTTTTTTTTTTTTTTTTTTCCGACTTTTTTAACTCTCGAAACTAAATAGGATCCGTGGATTTTCGGCGCCAGAGTTCGAATCTCAGGCGACGATTAGAGAAGGGATAAGACATGCAACAGAATTAGAGAAGGGAGAAGACCTGCAACATCTGAATTAAAAAGGGTAATATTGGAATTCGAAAATAATAAATATCATTTTTTGCTGTATTTGTAAATTTAAAATGTTGATGACATTTGTTTAAATATAGAAAATTTTTTTATACCCATTGCAATTTCCCTAGTAATTTAGTCTTTGTAGGTTAAATTTTGTAACGATTTAGTACCTATACTTTGATAGGTAACGACTTAATTTTTGTAGTTTAAAATTGTAACAATATAGTGTCTTGATATTTTAAAATTCATAATAATTTAATCTATGAAAAATCCTATCAAAATGAATATCAAACTTTTACTATGTAACATTTTAATATTGTAGCAATTAGTAAAATAAGACCAAAAATAAAAATAGAACGATCAAACTCCGAAAAGTGAAGCATAGATATCAAGCGGTCACTCAACAATTTAGAGGTCAAGACCTAAGAAGCGTACCGACCCAAGAACCAAGCACCAAAGCCCAATTGGCAGATCATTTGATTAGCTCGGCCATGGTTTGGCATAGCAGGTCGTAGAGCCAACTATCGACCAGCCACAAGTATGATCAGTTGGTTAGCTCGCCTTGGCGGGGCTTTATAGCTGACTAGTTGGTCGGCTCGACCATGCCACAACGCCGACCAGCTAAGGTTGACTAGTGAGCTCGACTCGGCTAGCCTTGTGGTAGACCAACCTTGATCGGCTAGACCTAGCCATTAGGCTGCTGATGGTTATCTTGGCTTAACCATGCCACAAAGATCGACTAGCCTCAATTGACTGATCGGCTCGATTGAGCCACAAGGCTGAGCAATCTTTGATCGGCTGGTCGGCTCGGCTAGCTACGATGGCTTGGTTGGTGGCTTGATCGACGTCCTTCAGAACTTATTCACAAACAAGTCACTGACCGAAAAAACTAATTAGAGTCGACTTGAGATCGTCTTAGCTTGATATCCTCATTGTGCATTACAAAATGAGCTCACTAGGGTGGAAGATCCCTAAATCTAAAGTCGAAATTGTTGAGTAAAATGAGAATAAATTATAAGTTTCTGAGTGTGTGTCAACTATTGAATTATCCTCGCATGTTGAAGCTAGATCTTTGGAATCTTCAGTCAAATAGGGTTAATTACCGTGGAAGAATTCATTTAACAAGCTTTTGGGCCGTTTTTTTTTAATTTTTTTTTATTAGATAACCCTTGGTTTCAAAGGTTAAATGGTTCCAAAATAGCACGTTTTGGATCTTAATTTAGCACAACAGTCCATATAACGCATATTTATTTATCTAAACTTGCTGATTTGCACTTTGCATGTCCTATTCTTTTATAATTCTGAGTTTGGTTAAATACTATCTCAATTCTAAGTGAACTTTTTGGTGAATAATAGAGCAAAAGAAAAAAGAAAAAAGAAAAAAAAATTAAAAAATTAAAAATATATAGAATTCATCGAATGTTGATAAGAAAAAAGTAACGACAAGTAAAATATTAAGGGCCTATTTGGTAAGGTTCTAATTTCGTGTTTCATGTGTTTGTCATTTCATGTTTCTTGTTTCTAATTTTTTAGAA